ACTGTTGTGTCTCAACGCGTCGGGCTTAAGTTTTTTTGTTATTCGAACATGTGTGGGTTCTAAGAACATGTCGTGGTAGGCCTATACGCATGGCCGGGACGGTCGGTCCCTGCTCAATTCTTGGGCATCTTGGGAGGGCCACCTCGCCAACGCTGAAATGTTCGCAACCGAGGTCCTCGTCAGAGCGCGCCCCGGGAGAGGTCTAGGGAACAACTCCTCCTCCTCCTCCTCCTCCTCCTCCTGCTCCTCCTCCTCCTCCTCTTCCTTCTCTTTCTCCTCATCTCTTCCTCCTCCTTATCCTCCTCTTCCCCCCCCCCTCCTCCTCCTCCATCTCCCCCTTCTCCTGCTCCTCCACAATTACACAATATGAAAATACTCTCCCACTTCCCCTGATGGCGTCCCGAAGATGGCCGACCCCCCCCCCCGCGTACTTTTTTTTTACACACAGGATTCCCGGGAAACGGGTTTTCGCATGCGTTTTTTTTCAAAATGCTGCTCTCGCTGAGGCGCCGGCCTCATTTCTGCTCCCGAATCGTTCCGAATCGTGCTCCCGCTGCAGCGTGGGCCTCATTTTCGGATCGGTGTTTGGCCTCCGTCGTTCAGGATGGCGTTCTCGCCCCAGCGCGGGCCTCTTTCTCGCGCGCCCATCCGCCCGCCACCACCGCGCCGCACCACCACCACCACCACCACCACCACCACCACCACCACCACCACCACCACCATCACAACCACCACCAGCAGCACCACCACCAGCACCACCCCTTCCACCACCACCACCACCACCACCACCACCACCACCACCACCACCACAACCACGCACACACGCACGCACGCACGCACGCCACCACCCACTACGCACGCGCGCGCGGAGCCACAGGTCCGCTACGACACGCGACCGCGGATAGAGAAAATCAGCGCCATGGTAAGGGATGGGAGGGAGGGGTAGGACGTCAGATATGACGCGAGCACACCTAGCTTGTCCTCCTCCCCTCCTCCTCTTCCTCCTCCTCTTCCTCCTCCTCCTCCCCGAGGACCCGCGCTTTTCAAACCGCGAAGTGATGATGAGCAACTTTCCAGGGTGACCCCTGCATCCTCCCCCTTCGGCCCATCCTTCGCCGCTTTCGCTGGCTGCCCCCCGCTCGCAAAGTGTCGACATGGCCTTCCAAGACCCTTGCATCCTGAACGTGCGTCCTCATTATGCGGGTTGGTTGTATCCTGCCTCCGTTAGGCGTCACAGCCGCACGTCCTCTACGAAAGTCGTATTGCGCGCTGTATGTTTTCACTGAATTAACTTTTGGGGTGCATTCTACCTTGTGCAAACTTTGGGGTGCAAGCTACGGGGTGCAATTTAATTCTTGCGGTCGAAAGTCCAAAATTTCCAGCCAGAGCACGACGCGCCCAAGAAGCATCCCTTAGACGAAAGCCCAGAAACGCAAGCAAGTTGAAGAGCGAAGGGAGAACCCCTTAGTCCAAGCATTGTTTTCATTTGGGGAGAACGTCCTCGGGGTCTTGGTAGTCTAGTGGCGCCCCGCTTATCCCACCACCCTGCCTTTTGGCCCCCCTTGGGAGTCTCTAGACTTCGCCTCGGCGACGACAATGACGACGACCCCTGGATCTGGGTGGACTCTGGACTCTAGCTCGACTCAAGGCCGGCTCAAGTTCGACTGAAGGCGACGGAAGTTCGACGCAGCGTCGACACATGAGTGGAAAAATAGACTCCAGGAGGGTCCCCAGATCGAGCACCCATCTCTGACTGACCCAGGCGTGGGGGCCACGCGGAGCCCAACCCCCTGCCCACCCTCCGCTGACCCAGGCTTGCCACACTGCCCGACAGGCTGGGGGTTTGCGACGTGGCTCTGGGTCTACGCGGCTCCAGCTTCTAGTCGGGGGCGGCAAAGAGGGGGGTGATGACTGGGGGGGGGTGGATATCATGGCGGGGGCCATGATATCTCCCGAGATGTCATGGCGCCTCTTCTTGTTTCATGACGTCCCTGGCCCCCCCGCTGGGCCGCGCACATGCCGCCGGTCATGATTTGCACCCCCCCCTCTTGGACACCCCCCTCTTGGCCGCTCCCGATCTAGCGCGTCCCCGACGGATCTTGTTTTGAAGGCCATGGAGCCCGAAAGGGGGCTCCAGTCACCAGAAACTCTCCACAGACTTCCGATTCTGATGTTTCCGACGCAGAGAGTTGCACATGCCGCGGACTCCGCGAAGCACACGCCAGAAGGCAGAAACGGTCGAAGCTGTCTGGGATTGAACCCTCCTTCTCCGACCTCCCTCCGCCACATCCGCAGGTTCCCCTGCGTCCGCCTGTTGATGTCTTCGAGACGTTGAAGCGTGCACCGCGCGCTCTGCCCCCTCGGGACTTCGACCACTTCGGTCCTGAGTCGTGTGTTGACGGCCCCTAGGCCAAGGAGTGGCAGACGACGACGAAAGACCGTCCGTCGCGTTCGTGCAACGCCCCGCATCTGAGGGCCCATGCGTTCCGCGACTTTCCCGGAGCGTGCCCGAGCGCTCTGGGACCGCCGCGGCGCCACAGACACCCCTCAGAGCTGCCAGATTTTCGGAGAGCCGCCTTGATGTCCCAGTCCGGTTCTGTCCCGGTCCTTGCTCCGTCTGATGTTGGTGTTTTCGAGACGTTGCAGCGCGCGTCGCTCCCAGAGGGCAGTTTCTCGTCCCGGCCCCGATCCTGAGTTCTGACGGTCCCGTGCCTGGGCCCCAGGGACCGACAGCGAGGCTCAACGCCCAGACTGGCAGCTGGCAGCAGTGCGCGAGCGATCTGCACTCACCCGCGGTGCGGCCCTCGATCTCGTGCGCACCCTCGGGCTGCTGCTGGCCTCGACGGACACGCCCAGATTGCAAGGGTCCTACCGCCAGAGCCACGGTCGAGGGCTTTGACCAGCGTGCCGATTCGCCTGCTCTGGCCCACCACGCTTCGGCGCGACACGCGCTATCCACTTCCTAGTCCCAGAGCATCAGCGCCCCCAGCTGTTCCTGGCCTCCCGCCCCGCAGAGCGGAGCGACACGCTATCCGCTCGCAGGGCATTGCGTGTCGCCGGGGCCGCCGCCGCGACATGCTACGGCGGGTGCGTTCGTTGAGGAATGTGACCAGGGAGGCTTCGGACCCTGGAGAGGGCGGTGGTGAGATCCTCTGGCGGTGGTGATATCCATGGCCAGCCACGATTGGGTTGGGGTTCCACCGGCTTCTAGACATCCTCCAGCACCGCCTGATCGCAGGGATTCACGAGTGATCCTCGCCCGAGTTTCCCACAGTCCTGGCCTCGCGTTAGACAGCGAACGATTATTCAAGTCTTTTGTATGAGTTATGAGTTCCCCCATCGTCGTCGACGTCGTGGACGTCGTCGTCGACATCGTCGTCGTTGTTGTCGTCGGCGGCGTCGTCGTCGGCGTCGTCGTCGTCGGCGTCGTCGTCGCCCGCGCCGCGCCGCCGAGGCCGCGCGCGCAGCTGCGCGGCGCGGCGCCGAGGGCCGCCGCGGGCGGCGGCGGCACGGCCGCGCTGCGGGCGCTGCTCGGCCTCGGAGCGCCCCCGCGCCAGCTCGACGCCGCCACCGCCGACGACGACGCCGCCGCCGACGACGACGACGACGGCGACGAGGCCGACGACGGTGAAGTCGCCGCCGCCGACGACGACGCCGACGACGACGCCGACGACGACGCCGCCGACGACGACGCCGCCGACGACGCCGACGACGCCGACGACGCCGACGACGACGACGACGCCGACGACCGTGAGGGCGCCGACGACGCGGCCGACGACGACGACAACGGCGACGAGGCCGACGACGGTGAAGTCGCCGACTACGACGACGACGAGGCCGACGACGGTGAGGACGCCGAGGCCGACGACGACGACGCCGACGACGACGAGGCCGACGACGGTGAGGATGCCGACGACGACGACGCCGACGACGCCGACGACGACGACGACCACGACGACGACGACGACGACGACCACGACGACGAGGGCGACGAACACGACGGAGACGGTCACGGCGAGGGCGACGACGAAGGCGGCGACGGAGATGGTCACGACGAGGGCCACGGCGGCGACGGAGACGGCGACGGCGGCTGCGACGGTCGCGGCGGCGGGGGGGCGGCGGGGGCCTCGCTCCAGCGGGCGCCCGGGGCCTGCGTTCGGGTGCTGCTCCCCGTGGAGCAGGCGGGCACTCGGGTGCTCAACCGGGCCCGGGGCTCTCGGGGCCCTGCCGGGGCCCGTAGGCCGTCGAGAGGAGGGCGCCTGACTCGCACGTGGAAGCTGGGGAAGTGACCCGGGCCACCAGCGCCTCCGCTCTCTGCAGCCCTGGCCAGTGTCCCTTTTCATCTTCCAGCCCCGGCGACCGCATCCCTGCCGTGTCGGGCATGGTGTACCCGCTGCGAGCTTTTCCGGCCCTGGCCATTTCCACTGTCACTGATTTTCCAGCTTCCAGTTTCCAGTTTCCCTGTGATGTGGGGTGGCGTTTCAGACATGCCCGGGAGGGGCCTTCACGCAGCAGCGCCCCTGGCGATGATGAGTGAGTTGGGTTGCAGAACTGCTCTTGGTCGTCATCGGGATTGCCACATCGTCCTACCCAGAACCTTTTCCAGCAACAGAAACCCATGTTCTCAATCCTCCCCCCATTTTTTCTTCACCGTCATCCGACATTCGAGACGAGGTGGATCTGGAGTGGTCGTCGGCGCTGCGAGCGACCATGCCTCGCTTTTTTGTCAGCACGCGTGCTGAAGTTTCGCCCCGCAGGGCACGCCAGAACTCGACTGGAAATGTCGGTGGCCTGTTATGAAAGTGTGTTGACCTCAATGTGGAGACTGTTTCTTTTTCATTGGTTTGCCGATGTGCGCGGGCCCTCGCAACCCATTGGAGTACATCTTGGCTGTTTTCGGCGCCTGTTTCAAGCTGGCCTCGCGGAGCGCGCCAGGCCCACTCCCCCCGCGGCGGGCCCCTGCGGCGGAGCCGCGCCCGCCCGCTCGGCCCAGCACCATCATGGGAGGTCTGAGGCAGCTGCTGCGATGCTTGGGAGTCATCGCCGGCTGCATCTCAGCGGCCCGCGGCCAGCCGTGGGGATGGTGCAAGGCGTGCCCGCTCCAGCCCGCCGCAGGACGGCCTCCGCGCAGCCGGGAAGGCGCACTGGGGGCTCGGCGACTCCAGTGCCGCCTCGCGGCCGAGGAGAGGCGCGCGTTCCTGCGGCTCACGCACGCCCGCTTCCGGCCAGACGACTGGCCGAGGACGCAGGCGCCGGGCCGGCGGAACTTCTACCTCGAGACCTTCATCTTCGAGCACCGCGGGTTCCTCTCCGCATCGCCAGGCTTTCGGCACGGGTCAGCCGCGGCGATCTCGTGGGACGAGCGCTCCGTGCACGAGGCGCTCTACCGCGGCTGGGCAGAGAGGAGCCCGGCCGCTGTCGCCCAGCTGCCTCGGCCCCGTGCGGCTCGGAGCGCGCACCTCTGGGCAGGCCTACGGCTCGGCGGCTGGATGCTGGTGGCTGCTCTTCTGGGGGCATGCTTGGGGCTGGCTGTCTCCGGCGAGTTCACGGCCTCGGTCGTCATGCCCCGGCTGCTTCTGGCAGGCGGGCATTTTGGTTTGATTGCATACTCAACGGACGCATGGGCCACATTCTCTCGCTTGCTGATGGCCGGCGACTCCGCACCGGCGGCGCTGGCCGCCACCTGGCGGGGCAAGGATTTCGATTCTACATTGGGATACCCAGGGGAAGGCCCCCCATTGCCAGGCACGCCACTGGGCGGTGAGCGACAGGCGCGGCAGAGGAGCCGTAGCCGGGAGCGCGGCGCGTCCTCACCCCCCATTGGCCGTCGTGGAGCTCAAGAGGGTCCAGCTGCCGCTGCCGACAGGGCGGGCTCGGTCCCTCCGGGAGGACCTGGCCAACAGCCAGAGATGGAAGTTGACGACTTGCGCCGGGGGGTCCGCAGGTTGGACTTCGACGAGGCGATGCCGGCCGTGCCGCCACACCCGCCGCCGACGCGTTGGCATTGCCCTGTGGCCGGCTGCCCGTGCGCCGACCCGGCCAGGCACCAGGGTTGGGCCAACGCTCAAGGCCTCCATCGCCACTTGGACGCGCACCTCAGCGGGCAGCTCGCCGGCCAGGTGGATCCCGAGTGGCTTCGCCGGCACGGCCGCGCTCGATGCCGAGTCTGCGGCCTCAGCGTGGGGGCCAATCGGGGAGTGCACCCCGCGTGCCGCCCAGCGGACCGCGCAGCCCTCCGGGTGGCCGCCGCGCCGCAGCCAGTCCACGCGGCCGCCGGCAGAGGGGTTGGGGAGGGCCGCCCGTCCCTGGCGACCGTCCACGCCGCGAGCGTGCCCACCCTCCGGTACGTCCCCAAGCGTGCCCGGGCCGCCTGGTCCCGCGCGCTCACTCGCTGCCTTGCGGGTGTGGTGGCGCACAACTCGGTGGCTGCTTGGACGGACTTGCAGATGTTGGCCAAAACTGTCCTCAGCGTGCCCCCGCGCACTGGCCGCGACCACGAATCGGCCCTCGCGGCGTTCACGTTGGAACGACTCGCGCGCTGGGAGGCGGGCGAGCGACAGTCGCTCTGGCAGGAGGCGTGCGACGCGCAGCCTGGCCGACGTCGTCGGCCAGCCGGCCCGCCCACGGCCGAACTACGGGCAGCGCGCGCCACGGCCTACGCCGCAGAGGGCCTTCTGGCCAAAGGGTGCGCGGCCCTGACGGCCCAAGGTCTGGCCGAACAGACGAGGGAGACGGTGCTGGCCCTCGAACGACTGCACCCGAGGGCGCCTGCCGAGCCGCTCGGGCGCCTGGACTCGCTCCTGGCCGCGCCAGAGCTCGCGCCCAACGCCGTGCTCAAGGCCTTGCGCGCTTTCCCAAAAGGCACCGCCCCAGGCCCTTCTGGACTTCGCGCCCAACACCTGCTGCACGCTCTCACACCCGCCATTCGTGCGACAGTTTGCGAGCAGCTCGCTGCCGTTGGACACCTGCTGGCGAATGGAGAAGCGCCCCGGCAGCTGGCGCCGCATTTTGCTGGGGCCAGCTTGGTGGCGCTGGAAAAGGAGGACGGCGGTGTCCGGCCAATCGCAGTCGGCGAGGTGCTCCGCCGCCTCACGAGCAAGGTCCTGTGCGAACATGTGAAGAGCAGGGCCCGGCAGACGCTCTGGCCGCTGCAGACAGGCTGCTGCAGCCCGCTGGGTGCAGAGGCAACCGTGCACGCCGTGCGCCAGTGGTGTGAACGCAACAGCACTCCGGGCAACAAGGTCTTACTCAAGCTGGATTTCGCGAGCGCCTTCAACACGTTGCGGCGCGGCGAGGTGCTGCGAGCCGTCGGCGACCGCTTCCCCGAGCTGGAGCGGTGGGCGCGCTGGACGTACGCGGAACACTCGCACCTGCGTTTCGGCGCGCACGCGTTGTCCTCCCAAGCTGGCATCCAGCAGGGCGACCCATTGGGCCCCCTGTTCTTCTCTCTGGCCGTGCACCCAGCGTTGGAGGAATCAGGAAGGGACCGGGAGCTGGACC